AGATGAAGTTTTAAGTAAAACGCTCTAAATTTAAAATGTTCTGATGACTTTTGATAAACATCCGCCTCAAAAGTTTCTTTGATTTTTTTAATAAAGTTATAAAGCAGTTGCGTTTATAAGTTTACCGACTGCCAGTGAGCTTTACAAGTGAAGTATGAAAGTTATCCCTTAATTTCTACAAATTGACTTCGTTGGTCTAATAAGTTTTTCAAGTTTAGGTTGATTTGGTAATTTGCGATAAAACTGGGACTTTAACTAATAACGCGATGAAAGCCAAAGCTTTTTCTGTAGGTGGTGAAAATTATGATTTCAATGCTAGCTTAACTTCTAAGAACAAGCAGGTACAATCTAGACTATTTAAAATTTTTGTTATCGACAAGCTTTTAAAAGAATCATTGAAAAAGTTCTTCACTTACAATTTGAAGCAGGAATTTTGATAAATTGATAGGCACTGTGTACCGCGCATAACTCTAACTATTCGCTTAAGAATGGTTCTCCTTTTTAATTTAAAACAGCAGTCTTTATGCAGAAATGAAATATTTTGTTGATTAAATTCTCTATCTGTTCCATGCGAGACGAACGAGTTGCTAGTTTAGTAGAGGTTATAAATTTTACGGAACTTTGTACAGTATATTCTTCAATACATAGTGATTTTATGATTATTTCAATATCAAGAATTGTTACTTAGTTGCATAACAGTATTTAGGGAGACCCAGAATGCTTTGAAAAATTCTTCCGCGTACTTACTCTCTGCAATGATGTTTTCCCGCAGGAACAAGATCGAGGACAGATTTGTTATAGTGGAGAGTCGCCAGATGAAGTAGCTTTGGTCCGCGGTGCCAAACTTCTGGGATTCAAGTTATGCGAAAGAAATTTTAATCAGATCACTGTTAAAGAGGTTTTTTTACTCTTTGGCGCTTTTGATATCTGGCTTACTTACTTTGCAAGTTTAAGGTTATGAAGTTTTTTATTGTTAATTGAACAGCCAATTTTGTTTTTGATTTTAAAGACGGTTGTTTGAAATTTTCATCAGATTTTTCATTAAAATTTGTTTGGAATTTTCATTAGAATTAATCATTTTATAAGCGCTAAAAACATTTAATTGTATTTTTACGCTAATTTTTTTGTACGTTTTTTTTTTTTCAACTTAATTATTCCAAGACAGTCATCAACTTTGCCTTATTATAGTCAAAATTTCTGGTCGAGCGGAATCTATAAAAATTTGTTAATTTTAATTATGCTTTTGGTCTGTATATGTTTTTTCCTCTAAACAATCAATTTCAATATATTGTTTTCCAATTAAAATTTCTTTTCTTTCAAGGAATTTATTTTTCCTGGAGCATTTTCAGATCTTCTTAAACCATGGGCTGACACTACTGCTCAAATATATGAAAATTCGTACTCTAAGTTTACAGCAAAATATATTTGAAAATTTTTGCTTTTTTTTTTTTTATTCAAATCTCAACACTCAGTTATTCAGTGGAACACTGCTTATTTTGCTTCTGTATGAAAAGCCGTTCGAGGTTTAAACAACAAAAAATAATACGTTGAATCGTTACATCTAAAATTAAAACTCAAAGTTCGACAGTGTTTTGGCAGACATACCTTCCAAAAAAAACTTGCTTAGTAATATATTTAAAATAAAATGTAGAGTCTTTGCAGTTAAAAAACTGAACGACAGAAAATGTAGTGCAAAGAATACAATTTTACCTCATTTCTAGAATGTTTTAAAAAATTTAAGTGTTTACTCGAATTCTGGCTTAGGAAGTGTTAGTTACGGAGACTTACTGAAGGTAAATTATTTATTAGGTTTTTTTGCATAGCCGAAAGTTGATATTTGCCAGCCATAAAAAGTAATACCAAAAAATGCTATTTAAAAAAAATGTTATTTTGAAGAGTTTTACTGTAACCAATAAAAAATCTTGCAAAAAAAAAGTGTAAATAAAATTAACAACGCAACACAAATTTTTTCTTTGTATTTGTTATGTTTTTAAAAGGCAGATTTTAACATGCAAAAAATATTCACAGGTAAAAACATTGTATTTTAAAGATAACTTTTTCCAAAACAAATACTAAAGATTTAATATAATTATGCAAAGAAGAAATTACAAGCTCCAGACAACAACTTTTTTTTTTATAATAAAGTATTATTAGGAACTTATTATAGCTTAACTTTGCGGTTTTTAAACGGTAAACGGTTTTTAACGCTATTTCTCATTACCATATAATAAAGTAGGGAAGACTACGGTTTTGCAAGGAAATAATTGTTGCTATATTTTAAAGCTGCACAGTTTTTTAGCGTGATAAAGACAAGAAATATGAGATGTTAAATACGTTAGAGTTCACAAGCGACAGGAAGAGGATGAGTGTCATTGTTCGCTGTCCGGATAAATCTGTATTAGTTTGCACTAAAGGAGCGGTACTGTCATTATTCTGCCTTATTAAAGATTTATACAAATAACAGTGGCATTATAAAAAATTATTTTTTAAGTTTTCTTTAGGAATCAGTAATATACCCGCTTTTACATAAAGATTCAAAGTATCTAGACAAGTGTAAAGAACATTTAGTCGATTACGCAAAAAAGGTAACTTTTGAAAGAAATGTCTTTTCTTAAATAAATTAACAGCAATTTCCGACTTCAAATCTAGAAGGTAAAAACTGAATTCAGCATTTAAAATTTTAAATCAACCATAAGAATGTACATTTGGAACTGCTTGAAACTGCTTTCTTTGAAGGGATATCGAACAATGTGCTTTGCATATCGTAAGCTTCAAATGCATGATTATGATGACTGGAATGAAAAATACCAAAGTGCTCTCAAATATACAGATAAAGGTGAGAGAAACAAGTCGGTGGAAAGCATCTTTGGAGAAATTGAAAAGGATCTCTATTTGGCTGGAGGTTCTGCCGTAGAAGACAACCTGCAAGAGGTTTGTTGCTAATGTTCAAGCTAAACACCTATATAACTGAAATTACCAAGCAAATTAAGATTGTTGTTCTCTTGAAGTTTTTGTAATTTTATTTCATTCTATTATATTCTTACTCTTCCTTCTGCTCTATTGCTCTTTCTAAATAAGTTCCTCTAACTTTTACCAAGAAAATACTAAACAATTATCCGTTTTACTAAACAGAATGTTAAGAGCAAAAACTTTATTGTTGTTCATAGTGTGTGAAGACGATAGAAAAAAACTACTTGTTTGATAACGAGACCTACCTTATCTACAGTTCCTCTATAGAATTACTTTCTAGTAAACATTAAATCAAATTTACAAAAAGTTTTATTTAACAAATTCAAATTGACAAAGAAGAAGCTTTTTGATTTTTAGAATTTTCTGATTCAGGACGTTCCCAAAACAATAAATTTTTTGATGAAAGCGGGCATCCGCGTGTGGATGGTAACAGGCGATAGGTTAGAGACTGCACGTAAAATAGCTGTTTCGTGTGGGATTTGTCTTAAACAAAACGTTTTACTTCATTTGACTTTGCAAAATGGAGTTGACCTCTTCGCATCTATAAAGCAGCTTCAAGAAAAAGCTGAATGTTTGCAGCAAAAAGGACAAGAATTTTTCCTCGCTACATCTGGCAGTGTTAGTTGAATTTCGTTTTGGAAGTTTTGGAGAGCTTTTGAGCTTGTATTATCTCATATATCACCAGTTTTCACTTCAAAAACTGCTTTCTTTCATCTTTATCGAAGTAAATGCAGAATCGTTTGTCACCTTCTCTTTATTCAAGTAACAGTTTCATGAGAATTTAGTGCTTGTGTAGTGTTCAAACTTGTAAGTAAAACTGTTTTACAAAAAAAAAAAAAAAAAAAAAAAAAAAAAAA